ATAAAATTTACAATAGGGAAATATTCTCTCCCAACTAAATCCAAAAGTTTACATGTACTATGGTAGTTATAACATCAATTTAACAGTGGACAACTGGAAGAAACACAAATACACAACAGGGGAACAATTAAGTAAATGATGGTTCGTCTACTGTGAAATAGGCTCCAGTTAAAAGCAATGGTCACGGATGTCTGGTTCAAGAGGGTAGGCTGACCACCTTTCTGAGACTCCATTAAAACGAAGAAGGGATAAAAAGCTATAGCCCGTAACAAAGAAAAGAATGTGGGGGTCTATTAGTGCTTGAGAGCTTCGCACATATTTCTGGAGGGCACAAAGCAGATGGCAGAGTGACAGTGAAAGAGGGTAGAGGACACTGTAGCCTAAAGCAGTGGCATTCTTTCAGAACAAACTGCTGAAGCAGAAGCATCCAGTGTTGACTACTATAGAGAAACAAGCACTTCTAAACAAATGTACATGCAAAAAAAGCCAGTGATTTTTGCTAAGGTGGCTGGACCTTAAGCAAGTTTTTCTTCAGTTTTCTAAACTCTGTGTAGATGGTCCTATTATTTTTATAATTAATAAAAAGCCTACAGCAAGGTATGACAACTCCAACTGGAATTGGATTTAAAAAGCACTACACTGGAGATACACATGTAAAGAGCTCAGCGTTTCTGAAGTGCCCACGAAAGCAGGGCTCTGAACTACGCACATTATGTTATCCACCACGCACAGGGGTTCCCCGAAGCAGGATTATTAACCCCACTCTGAGGATGCAGCCTTAGAGAGGTTAAGAAACTTGCCCAGGGTCAGAGTTAAAAGGCTGGAGAGGAATGAGTTGTTGCCAGACTTCAGACCCCTTGCTCTTCTGTCCACATCCCCGTCCCAAGGCATCAAATAAGACCAAGCCATGATAAAATGGCACTAAGCTTCATGGCTGGGATTAGGCAAGAGCAGTTCCCGTGGAAGCATGAAAACTAGGGATCTTCAGGGGAAAAATACCTTCCTGTGATTCTCCGGATCAGCAGAGAGTCTGGGATGCTGAATTCAATCACAGAATCAAGCTTCTCTTTCCTCTTCTCCATGAGGTCATCAAGCTGTAAAAGAGCGTGTGGCCCACCTAAGCTACCAGAGCTCAATCAGACCCATTTCCCTCAAAGGAATGAAGAGATAAAGGGCCAGAGTGCGCCTTTTCGCGATGGTAATACAAAACCAAGCCGCTCACCATTTCTGCCTGCCTCACAGTCCGAGGGAAGCCATCCAGAAGGAAACCATTTTTGCATGCAGGGGTCTCCAAATTTTTCTCAATGAGCTCCACGACCATTTCATCGCTCACCTGGAAGTCAAAAACAAAAGTTTAAATCCATTAATTAGGTGACATTAGACCAATTCCAAGGCCACAAGTTTGTCTCTGTATAACCCAATTATTAAACTGCATGTTTTCTTGATCCCAAAAATGCAAAAATAAGAGAAAATATGGAGTGACTTCGTTTGGAAGATGCAGTTTCATGATTATTTCTCTGGTTGCCATATACACATTCTCTTCCCCTGGGATTCTCCTGTGTTCCAATACTCTGGATGAGAAAAGAGGATTCCAGTGCCTGCCGCCCTACCAGGAAACCTCTCTGGCCATTAGTCAGAGCCCTAACCATCAGATAACAGCTTCTCAGCAATCAGCTGTCCTCAAGACACCACAAAGTGAAGGCATATGGCTGAGAGATTACTTGGGGACGGCTCCAGGAGAGAATGGGGTTGACCAGAATGTAGAAAGGCACTAACTTTTATCTGTTCCCCAATTTTGATCAGGCTAACAGTAAAGTGACCCAAGCCATCTTAGACATGAAGCAACAGAGAAGTTCACTGACCTGGCAAGACTGGGTCAGAACCAAGGAACTAAGAAGCCAGCCCAACCCGTCTCTGAGCTTCTCTTAAAAACCCCAGTGAGGATCCTTCCAACCTTCCCCAAACTGGTTTTCCTCCTGGGCTTTCACTGGAAGAAAGGTTCCCTGCCAGCATCACAGCGAAGGCTGCCCATTTTGGTAGCTAACGCTCTTATCTCCTGGGACCATCTGTGAACTTGGGGACATAGTATAAGCTCTGCAACTAAATGAAGGCTGGAGATAAGTCATCTCGTTGCCACATCCCAGTGCTTTCTCAGTGCAGGACCTTTCACCAAGACGCAAAGTCCAAAATACCTAGGTTTCTGGCTTAAGGCCTCACTAACATGAAGGGAAAGCTAGGAGAAAAGAGGCAGGTGGGCGCGCAGGCAGGGCTGCTCCAGCTCCAGGATCTCAAAGCTGGACCAGAAGTAACTAGCACCCTCCCCAACCAACATTCTAAGCTATGTAAAGACCAGACAGCAAAGCACAAAACTTCTGAAGGTGAGTCCCAAGGCCAAGTCCCAGAATAACTCAGTTACAGTTAAGCTCTGGCACTAATCAAAGAAGATTTAGTAGATAATAAATTGTATTTGTCCAATCAGGTCAACTGGACTAAAGACAAGAGAAAATGCTATTATATTCCCCAAATAAGGATTACTTTCGTCAACTGCTGAGCTACTCCTCTATTAGAGGCAAAGAACACCGAATCACAAAAGTAGATTAAAAACACTCTGTGACTTCTTTAGTCATCTCCTGAATACACCCTCGAGTTCTGGCCTAGGGATGGCAGTTTCATTTTTGGCCTTAAAAAATGGGTACATTACAAAATGTGCTGGCACAAAGGAACCTCAAGAGTACTGTGAACAAAATAAGCGCCATAAATTCAGAATGAACCAAGCAACTTGCAACTGCAAAAGGTCATATAATGTGCCAGTTTGTTAAAACACCCTATAGCGTGGGGCTGTCCAACAGAACTTTCTACAATGATGGAAATATTCTGTATCTATGCTGGCTAGCAAAAACGTGAAATGAGACAAGTGAGACTAAGGAAATTAATTTTAAATTAAATTAAAATTAATTTCAATAGCTACACGTAGCTGGTGGCCACTCTACCAGGCAGTGCAGATCTAGACTCTGAGGAATATCAATATTCACTGGTACCCCCGAACCTACCAGCTTCCCGGCATCCATAGTTGCCTTTAGCTTTTTTCCCAGCTCAGAGCCAGAAGCCACCATGGCCCTCAGCATGTCCCCAGTAGCCAAATGGCAGACACAGAAGTTTTCAGCCAATTTGGGTGCCTGTGGAGGGCAAGAAAAGAACAAGATAAAGTTAACAGTGTAGGTCCTGGAGTCAGACCGCCTGGGTGTGAATTTACTGGCTGTGTGAACTCTGACAAATGCCTAAAATGTAACAGGGATAAAAGTACCTTATATTATAGTTTAATATATGATTATAGCATTGTAGTAAGAAATTACATGAGATAATACATGTAAGGCATTTAAAACAGTGCACCTAGCACACAGGAAGCCGTCACAAGTATCAGCTATTATCACTACTTCCACTAGACACACTAGTGACACGTAAGCTTCAGTTTCCTCGTTACAAACGGGAAGAACAGAAATCGCAATATCAACCCTTCACATGGCTGCTGTGGAGTTTAAATGAGTTCATGTGTATAAAGCACCTGGCACGACGCCTGGCATGTCACGCATGGAATGAACATTTGCTGAAGGAACGGACGTGTGGTTGTCAAGCACTGTGGCCACTAGCCTGGGAGGCAGCTGGGGCCAGTGCAGTACGCAGTTCGGTTCTTCTCCTTCCCTGTCACTAGGGAGCTGCATTATCTTGGCCAAGTCATTTAACCTCTCAGAGGCTGTTTCTGCATCTGTTTAAAATGAAGGCGAAAAGGCTCCATCTCAGAAGGTCGCTGTGAGGATCAGGTGACAGACACGAAGAGCACCTGGCAAACAGTAAGTACTTGCCGAGTACCTTTAGGAGGCAGTACAGCCTTTTGGTTAAAAGCGTGGGCGTGGGAGTCAAACTGCCTGGGTTTTAGATACCAGATTCATCAGACTGGATATGTGACTCGAGAAAAATTATATCACTTTTCTAAATTTTAAATTTCCTCTAAGTAAAATGGAGATAGTAGTAATATGTATATCACTGGGTTGATGAGATTATATAGAGTTCAACATATGCAGGGCCAGGCGTATAGTAAGTGCTCAGTGAGCCTTAGCTGTTACCCTTACCCTGCTCTAATTCCTATTAATTCCTATGGAAAGAAAATACTTACTGGGATGTCTCTTCCAAGAACCCTGCTGGGAGCCAGGGAAACAGATGCGTAAGAGATACAGCCCTGTCCTCGATGAGCTCAGTTTGGTGGACTATACAACAGAGTGAAGACTAGAAGAGGAAGAGACTCCGGACAGCTCAACGCTGCTTTTATGGCAGCAAAGAAGAATCCAGAACTCATGAGGAATACAGTCAGCTCAAGGAGCCTAATACTTAGTTTTCTGGTTCAATTGTTTTGTGAAGTAAGCAGGGTCGGAACCTTGTTCAGACCAGTTCTTTGGGAGTTTCCTTAGGTGCACACGATAAAAGTTAAATAGATGGGGCTCAGTGCAACAAATGCTGGTTTGTGATTCATGGACTGATTCAGTTCGATCAAAGAACTGACTTCATAGCAAAATGGAAGCCAGGGATTAAAGTACTAAATACTTTAATACTGAAGTATTAAAAACTATACTTTGTAACTTTTACAAAAAACTTTTAAAGTTTTAACTTCACAAGGTACAGCTTTAGCAAACTGGCACAATATGAAGAAGTACAGTAAAAAGTGCTTTTTAACACTGAGGTACTAAAAACTGTACTTTGGGAAGCCAATAAAGTTCAGGGCCCTCTGGCAATAGAAAACCTTCTGGTCCTCCAGGCTGGCACAGTGGCCACAAACCTAGAGAGCTGTGCCTGTCTGCCTATCTGTCTTCTTGGCTGTTGAAATTAAGTTGGGTGGAAAATTTGGAGGTCAGGCTTGTTCGCGGGGAAAGGCTAACCGAAACACCAGAGAAGAGCTGTTAGCACAAAACCTAACCATTCTATTTTTATCACCCCAAATCGCAGGACTCTTCTGTGCTGTTCCAGGTGAATGGATCCTACGGCTGCATGGAAAAACACTCCCAGAGGGACGACACGGCATGGTGGAAGACTGACTCCTTCATTTCCTGCCGGCTGCATGGGAGTCAATGAGGTAGGCTGCCAAGAGCATGAACTTTGGAGTCAGACAGATCTGCACAGGAGCCCTGCTTGCACTCAACAGCTGTGTGACCTTGGGCTAGCTACTTAACTTCTTAGAATCTCAGTTTCCTCACCAGTCAAACGGGGATAATGTCTACTTCACAGGGCTCTTAACTTACCATGTAACCTCGGGCCAGTGATTCTTTGAGACTATTTTCTCATCTATAAATTGGATATATTATTACCATCACTCGGTAGGTAGGAGGAAGAATGGAAGACTCTCAACAAATTATGGTTCCTGGTCTAATCCCAAAACTACCCTAGCATTTGTTAGTCACTCACCTGACACTTCCTGCATGGTGCTCTGCACCAGCATGTATTGCTTACATGCACATTTGTTTCTGCCTCTACACCTATACTGATAGCAACAATGTGAAACAGTGATGCTGTTCAAGAATCAGTCATGAGTTCAAATCCTACCTTTGCTATTTTATGTCCTGGGGCAGGATATAGACTCTGGGTCTCAGTTTATCTGTAAAAAGGCAAGGATAACAACAGGACCTACTCCTAGGGTTGTAGGATTAAATGAGATGACACAGTAAAGTCTCTGGCTGGGGCATCTGTCACATAACCCAGCAAAGGGTGACTACTTCGTGATATTACACCCCCTAGAGGGCAAAGGCTGCTCTGCATCTCTAGCACTGAACTTAGTCAACAAAACATCCACAGGGTAGGAGACAGTCAAACCCAGGGCCACAGAGAGCAGCAGGAGCAGGAGCTTTGGAGTCATTCAGATGCAAGATCAGCCAATCACTTGCCCTGCAACCTAGAGAACAAGCCCCTCCAGCTTCAGTTTCTCTAACTGTAAAAGGGGGAATAAGAGTGTGGGTCCCACAAAGTTGTGTTTGGGCTGTGAGTGTCTGTGCACTGACGTAACTGGCAGAGCCTGACCTGTAAGACGGCAGCTGATGCCCTAAGTGTGCTGGCCTTGAAGAGCTGGTGTCAGTGGGACACACGGAAGGAATTGTGAAAGGGGCTGGCAGAGGAAACAGGAAACACATCTTGGTTTTGGCCACACTGCAGGAACACCCAACCCAAAAAGGGAGACAGGGAAGTAAGGTTATTTAAATAAAATAACAAACTCAAGTGTTCTAGATGTTTCAAAAGCAGGTAGCTTAAAAATGTTTAACTACTTTAGTTAAAAATAAGAAGTTTTAAAAACAAACAGATTACTTCAGCCATGCCAACATGAAATTGATAAAATATTATGTATTATGAGTTATGCAGGTATAAAAAGAAGTACTAGTGGTGAAGAAAACAAACATTACTGAGCAGGTACTAGGCACTAGGAATTCTATATTAAAGACTGCAAACATTTACCAATGGGGACCAGGCAGGCAACACATATGAAGTGGGTCAAATATAAGCAAAAGTCAGCGAAGAGGGCTATGCAGGGGACAGGAGAGCACGTGGACCATTTAAGTGGCAGCGTCACTCAGCTGTATGCCACGCTGAATGGAGGCCCAGAACCACCAGATCTGACTTCGCAAGAGAAACGGGAGCTCTGGATTTTTAAGTGAAACTTCACAACTGAAAACACTGTGTGGTCAACTTATTATTTTGAAAGCTGACAAATAAGAGGAATAAATCAAGTATTTAACCTGCCTTTATTATACAAACCATACCAAATAGTAGGTGAGAAGTTTCTCTTTATAGAAGTACTTCGGCTAATAAATGAAAAGGGAATGAGATCATTAGAACACCACCATTTTGCCATCCACAGTGAATTCCTGGACCCAGGTACTAACCACCAGAGACAAGCTGACAGGATGTGCCTCCAAACGGACAGCACGCCATCACCTGTGATGCACCGGGACCAAAACACTGAACCTGGGTCTGCTTGGGTGTATGATCAAACTACAGGAAATTTACAGGAAAGAGAGAGGAAAGAGGAAGATGTTAAATACGGTATGGGGATACAATAAAAAATCCCCAGAAAGAGGATACTCCTAGGATAAATAACTTCCACAAAACAAACAAAACTGCAAGGAAAAAAAGGGGAATCTGTAAATTAAAAGACACTTGAAATGATCACATTTGTGAGACAAATAAATGGAAATGTGAACTTTTACTGCTATTATTGTTTTTAAGGGGATATTGTGCTTATTTATAAAAAAAGAATTTCTCTTCTAGAGATATACACTGAAATATTTACAAATGAAATGTTACGATGTCTGGGAACTGCTTTAAAATTACTTGTGGAGGGAGAGTGGATGGGGAAGGAATGGCCACCAGCTGATGTTAGTTGGGGCTGGATAATGGTGCAAGGGGGCTCATTACACCATCCTGTTTTCTTTCATGATAAAAAGTTGGGGTGTGTCTGCAGGCTGCTGCAGGCTGCCATTCTGCAAGCTCTGAATTAGGAACACTTTTTTTTTTTAACTCCATAAAACTACAACCACCAGGATTTCTACTGTTCCAGTTAAGGAAAGAAAGGTGTACAGAGGTTAAGCGACTTATGTAAATCTTACTCCTTCCTCAAGTCCCAGCTTTAATCACACCTCCTCTACTTCCACAAAGCCTTCTCTGACCAACTCCCATCATATATACACCCTTATAAATCAGCAATCAGGTATAATTTTCTTCAAAACTTTCTGAATACATCAACCTTTACATAGAGATACATCCAAATTTGGGGGGATATGCTACTAAGATGAGGGAATCGATAATTAGTGAACACTTACTATGTGCCAGGTTGCCATCAACATATGTATTATACATGTATAATAACAATCTTCCAATATCCTTATGAAATTTTGGTCTAGGGGGGGCAAGGACCTTATCAGTCTTGTTCACTGGTCTATCTCCAGTGTTTGGTGCTCATGAAAAGTTGAATGAGCCAGGTAAGCATTATCCCCATTTTTTCAGGTGAGAGCACTGAGGCACAGAAATTACAAAGCTATAAAGCCCTTGCACTGGGATGGGTTGTCCATTTCACAACTACTGAAATTATTAACTTCAATATGAACGAAGGAAAAACAATCGATGCATTTGAGCTACCTTGTTTACCTCAGTCACTCACAGCAAAAGTCTGCAGACTTTGGGATTAAACATTCCTGGGCTGCAGGTTACCTAATAACTGAGGGTGGTAGCAACAGAAAGGAGAATTCAGTATTTCTGAGGACAAGGGGATTAGGTAACAGTGAGCCCCAAGGGCAAATCAATGTTGGCTATAGAGAGAAAAGGAAAAGTGGTCTATCTTGACCTAGTGGCCAGAGCCCAAAAGCAAAATAACAGGAATGAATTGAATCTCTCAGACTTCTCTTCTCCTCATTACCCATGTGAATTTATCTTCATCCATATCCAGTAACCCCACCAAATGCCAAGTAACGTGCTGGAGAGTCACAAGAGTCCCGAGGAGTAAGACATATGGTTTGTTTGGCAAGACTCTGGAATCTTTGCAAGTGCTAGGAAGAGAAGGGGGGACACAAAGCAGTCCCCTAGAACCCCATTCCCTTAGGAGCTCAGATTTTCAGGAATTCCCTCTTTAGATCCTAACAACAGGCAAAAACCTGAGGCCCCCCGAGGCGGGGGCAATGCCAAACGTCAGGCAGGTAGAAGATATTGATGGTAATTCAACCAACGGGCTTCTGAATCCTAAGAGAGATCATAAATCTCAACCTTGCTCTATGGGCCCATTAGTCCCAGATGCCAAAGGAGGCCCCAGAGTCAGCTAGGGCAGAGAGCAACTTCAGACTCCAATTACCCAGAGTCCGGTGGCTCCTGAGGTTCCAGGCTCCATGAAGTCAATTTTGCTAACTTGGGAAAGCTATCTGACCTCTCTCGGCCTGTTTTCTTAATGGTATACTGAGACACTCCCAGCTTAAGTGGCTCAGGCAGGTCAGACCCCACTTCCCTTAGCAGTACTTCTAATCGGCCCAGGCCACCTCCCACTTTACCCCACGTGCGGGAGATGCTCCTGCTCCCTCAGTCATTAATCATTACACGAAACGTACCCCTACCCGGAGTGCCTGACAATTCCCTCCCAAATCGCAGGTAATCTGGGGTCCCTGCCTCCACTCGGGTTGCAGTCTTTACCCTTCAAGTCTTCTCAGCTTCTAACCTCTTAAGGGATCTAATCAGTTCTTAGATCTCTTACCACGACACCTCAAGCCTGGACCCCTCAAGAACTCTAACCCTAACTCAGACTCCCTCAACCTCCAATTTGGACCCTCCCTCAAACACCTGCCAGAACCCCATATGCCAACCAGGGCGCCCCCAGGCCTCAGCCCGCGGCCTCGCTCCAGGGTGACCCAGGCCGCCGGCCGCCCCGACCTTGGAGTTCCACCGGTTCCGCTGTCCAGCCCGGCCCTGCAGCTCACCTGGGTACCCTTGCCAGCCCCGGGCGGCCCCAGCAGCACGGCCCGGATGCCTTTAGGGTACTCTTGGGCCGGCTGGGCCGCGGGCACGTTGGGAGCCATGGCTGCCGAAGCCTCTCACCGCTCAACTCGCCCGCACACCTCGCAGGTTCAACGCTTCCAGGGCAGCGCGCCACGCACGCCACGCATGCCCAGCTCGCCGCTCACGCTGGTCCGTCGTCACGTCCGTCAGCCTGCTTCTCTCGTCCCTGAGCGTGATCGACATTTCACCTTACCAACCACGTGGCAAAACTGGAGAAGACGCCTTTCGATTGGACATAACCAGTGAGGGAGTAAGGAAGGGGCGGGCCATCATGGACGGAGGAGGCAGGGGGTGGGGCTCGAGGCGGGTGTGCGGAGTGGGCGGGAAAAAGTGAAGCAAGACCGAGACCCGCCTAGGAGTTCTAGGTTGGTTTTTGACAGTTAATGACAACGGCAACTCCGATGAAGTATTTTAAGATTGCCCGTCGGCATATAAATGGGTAAAATCAGTCTTAGACCATAAATTGGCAAATATGTATCAAATATCCTTTGGCCCAGCAATCCCACTTCCAGGAACTCAAATGACATAATCTAGGACATACAAAACGATTTGTGTAACAAAGATAGGAAGTGTAGCACTTGTAACAGCCCCCAAAGCCCAAAACAAATAAAGAAAAAAAAAGGCAATATTCTAAATGTTCAATATTAAGAGCTTGGTTAAATAAATTGTAACAAATTTGTGTACTGGAATTCCCCCATGTTTAAAATATTTAATCACACCGGAAAATATTCGCCAAACAGTATACAAAATTGCAGTTACAAAAAAAAATCCCAATTTTGTTTGTTGCAAGGGGTGATCTCTGCATAGCGTAATTACAGGAGCTTCTCGCCTTCTTGTGCATTTTTATATTTTCAAAAAGTTCTATAATGAATTCTGCCATAAACAGATCAACCTTTTTAAGTCAGGAAAAGGTAGTTTTTCTCAAAAGAGATGACCTTCTCTTGGACAGCTTTTTGGTGTGTGAAAGTTTCATCTACACCCTCCATGAAGCAATCCCTGAGGTCCTGGCAAGACCACCCCCAAGGGCCCCTTTGGACCTTTAGTCGAGGGTGTGATTATGAAACAATTATGTTTCCCCACAGGCTTGTCGCAATACATTTTCTACATCCTGAATATGAATTTGCTATCTCTTCAGCTTGGTCTTTTCTGTTTTACCTCCCCAAAGAAGTTCACATTCATTCCTCATCCCCACACTGGACTTCCACAAGGTCCCTGACCTAGAAGGAGGCGGAGATTGTTATGCCCATTTTCCAGGAAGATATACAGTGATCAGCCCAAAGCCACACAGTAGCAGAGTCCCAGTGAACACTGGGAATGACAAGCTGGTGCCCCGGAAACCACAGGATTCATGGGAGTGAGGATGAAGGTAGGGAGCAAGTGCATTTTCTCCAGTAGAAGCCTCTGGTGCCCAGAATTCACTTCAATCCAAGAAGACCAGAGTTTATGGAGGTTTGATGTGCCCAGGGCACCGGACAAGGGGC